CAGATGCTGGAGGGGATGTGGACAGAAGGGAACCTTACTGCATTGTTGGTGGGAGTGTAAACTTGTTCAACCACTTTGGAAAGCAGTATGGAGGTTCCTGAAAAGGCTCCACATAGAACTCCCCTATGACCCAGCAGTCCCACTTTTGGGCATTTACCCAAAATGATCACAAAGAAGACCACACTAAAGTGGCCAGCACGACTATGTTTATTGCAGCATTATTTACCATAGCTAAGATATGGAACCAATCCAGATGCCCCTCAGTAGATGAATGAATCAACAAAATGTGGTATATATGTATATGTATATATATATATGTATATATATACATATTTATATACACACACACACAAAATGGAATTTTATGCCTCCAACAGAAAGAATGACATTGCCCCATTTGTTAGGAAATGAAAAGGCTTGGAAAAAATTCTATTAAGTTAAGTAACCCAGGCCCAAAGAAATATAGGTCCCATGGTGTCCCTTATTTGCAATAACTAGTATATATGAGTCCAGCAGAAAAAGTCAGATAAGTTGATGTTAGGGAAATGAACCCCAAGATATGTATTCAAATATTTTCTTCTTTCATGAGATTGTTACTAACATGTTTAAAAGATTATTTCTTTGTTGCTTTGTATGTTCCTCCCCCACGGAATAACCCTGCTTTCACTGTATTTGATGCTGGTATAACTTGTGGAGGGGAGGGGAAAAAGCAAATCGTTTAAATGGGGATACAGGTGGACCCATTGCAACAACGAGATGTACAAGTTGTTATGTCAAAAAACGAATTTAAAACTTTGGTGGGCAGGGGGAGGATTGGGTAGGGGACTGCGGAGGTGGGTGGGGAGGTGAGGAGTATGAGAAGGGATGGGGAGGGGAAACAAAGGAGGAGGCTACAATGCTTGATAAAAAATGTACTCACTATCTTGCCCAAGAAATTGTAACCCCTCTGTACAGTATTATCAGAATTAAAAAAATGTACTCATTATCTTGCCCATGTAATTGTAACGGCTCTGTATGGTATTTTAAAAATAAAAAAAATTAAAATAAAAAAGAAAGAAATATACTCATTACCATGCTCATGTAATTGTAACCCCTCTGTACGGTATTTTCACAATTAAAAAAATAAAAGAAAAAATAATTTTAAAAAGATAATGCTAAGCAAAATGAACCCCAAAATAGGGACACAGTAGTTTTTTTCTTGCTTTTGTTGCTAACGTATTTATATTGTACCACGTGATTTTTTGTTTCTTTGTATGTTCTTCCTCCACTGTATAACCACAGTGTTCACTGTATTTGATGGCGGTACCCTGCATCTTGTATATACTCTTCTCTAATTTGGGGATGGAAAGGAAATAAACAAAATGCTTAAATAGGGATACAGGTTGACCCATTATAACAATGAGATGTACAAGACATTATGTTGAAAAATGAACTTTACAATTTAGCAATGGTGGGAGTGTAGTTGTAGAGGTGGGGAGGAAAGGGATGGTGGAGGACAAAGAAAGGAGGAGGCAACAATGCTTGATAAGAAATGTACTCACTATCTTGTGCTCATGGAACCATAACCCTCTGTACAGTATTTTTACAATAAAAACATATTATAAAAAAGAAATTGTGGTATATATACAATGGAATTCTACGCCTCCATCGGAAAGAATGACATCAAAATAGAGTTGTGAAAAATTATATTATGAATTAAGCCAGGCCCAAAGAAACATAGATCCCATAGTTTCCCTTGTCTGCAATGTCTAAGACATGTCCAAGACAAGGACACAAATGGCTTTTGCTTTCTTGCTATTGTTTTTAATATACTTATAATGCACTATGTGATTCTTTTGTATGTTCTTCCCGCACGGTATAACCCGTTTTCACTGTATTTGATTCCAGTATTCTACATCTTGTATACACATTTTGTAATTTGGGGAGGGGAAGGGATACAGCAGAATGCTTAAATGGGGATGCAGGTTGACCCATTGTGACAACTAGATGTACAGGACACTATGTTGAAAACAAACATTACAAAGTTGGGGGGGCAGAGGGAGGAGTTGGGGAGGTGGGGAGGGAAGGGATGGTAGGAGAAAAGCAAAGGAAGAGGTAACAATGCTCGATAGGAAATGTACTCATTACCCTACTCATATAACTGTAACCTCTCTGTACAGTATTTTTACAATAAAAGTATAAGTAATTAAAAAGAACTCTAGAAAAGGCTAAGCGATTTTCATTTCATTGTTTAAAGGACACATGGTGTTAGATGTAAGTATTTTGTTATTGTGTGTTTGTGTGTATTGCCCTTGAGGAAGATGGGGGGGATAAGGATGAATAAGAATCAGAACAGGATACATAATAAACACATTCATCTTGTGGAAGGTGAGGTACTGGGCTTTGAACTCATTACCTTGCACTTGCAAAGTGAAGATTCTATCCCTGGTGCCTCACCTCCAGCCTTTTTTCCTTTAGCTAATTGTCAGATAGGGTCTTTGGCTTCGTGCCTAGTCTCACTTCAGCCATGCCTCCTGTATAGCAGGGATTACAGGCATAAAGCTTGTTTGTCGGGCTAATCCTAAACTTGTGGTACTCATTCAATCACTTCCAAATAGCTAGGATTATAGGCATGTGCCACCACAAGCATGCCTAGCTATTCCAACCTGTTCAAATGTGAAGCCAATAAGAAGAAAAATGACAGACTGGAGTAACTATACAAAGTTCAAATATTCTGTTCTCAAGCTATCATTTACTATTGAAAAAAGGAAGAGGATCCATCCCATTGGGATGTGTGAAATGAGATTTTTGTTTCCAGGAGTCTCTCCTCCCCATAGAAGTCTCGCCATCTTTCTTTCTTTCTTTTTATTGTGAAAATACTGTACAGAGGGGTTAAAATTACATGAGCAAGATAATGAGTACATTTCTTATCAAGCATTATAGCCTCCTCCTTTGTTTCCCCTTCACATCTCCCACCCAACCTCTGCGCCCTCCCCCCACAAAGTTGTAAAGTTCGTTTTTCCACGTAAGGACTGGTACATCTCATTGTTGCAATGGGTTCACTTGTATCCCTATTTAAACAATTTGTTTTTTACTTTCCCCTCCACAAATTATACCAACATCAAATACAGTGAAAGAAGGTGTTATACCCTGGGGGAGGGACATACAAAGCAACAAAGAAATCACCTTATAAATATGTTAGAAAAAAATCACAAGAAAGAAAAAAACATTTGAATATTTATCTTGGAGTTATTTCACCTAACATCAACTTATCAGACCTTTTCTGTTTGTCTCAGATATATACTAGTTATTGCAAATAAGGGAAACCATGGGACCTATGTTTCTTACTGCATTGCTGGTGGGAGTGTAAACTTGTTCAATCACTTTGGAAAGTAGTATGGAGATTCCTCAAAAGACTGCACATAGAGCTCCCCTATGACCCAGCAATCCCACTTTTGGGCATTTACCCAAATGATCACAAACAAGTCCATATTAAAGTTACCAGCACAACTATGTTTCTTGTAGCATTATTTAGCATAGCTACGCTATGGAACCAACCCAGATGCCCCTCAGTAGATGAATGGATCAACAAAATGTGATATATATACACAATAGAATTCTATGCCTCCATCAGAAAGAATAGCATTGCCCCATTTGTTAGGAAATGGAAAGACTTGGAAATAATTATATTAAGTGAGTCTCACCATCTTTGTAGCAATTTTCTTCTTCCTCTAGCTTCCTCTTCACTAATCTTCGAGATTTCAAACCAGAAGGCAAAAGGCAATTTGGAAACAACTGTAAAAACAGACATTTTTATGTTTTCTCTCTGTACTTTAAACACAAGCATAGATGCTCTAAGTTAAACAAAAAAGGTAACTCCTATACCCATACTCAAAATTTAACTTAAAATGAAACGTGTTGTTACACAAGACCTAATTCTGTTGCAAAGATGGAACACTTTATAAGCACATATCACAATCACAGCAAAGAGTGGCCATAAGTCTGTTCTGTTACCTTCTTCAACTTATCAGAAACCAAATACTGGCTTGGTGTCGATAAAAGTGTACTCGCTTGGTCCCTCTCCTTCAACAACATTAATTTTCGTGTGGGTGGTGCAAATTCTATAGGCTTGAGAGTGTCTTCAATGGAAATAAGCTGTTCAAACATATTCTGGTTACTGAGCTCCTTGACTGGATCGATGAGCAATCTCCTCTTTTTCCTTTTCCTTTTCTCAGAAGTGCCTATATAAAAAAATAAACTTCTGTGTGATTGGTTGCATAGCCTTGCAAAATGATACTCTAGACACCACATATATAAATTTATGTAACACACACAAACGTACACACAACATATATAACTGTAGAGTTGCATTGGAAAGTAAATCCTTCTAGTCTTTGAGGAATATCTCCTTTGCATGCTTTTTGTAAGATAGAGTGCTGACCACCCAAGAGCTGTTACATTCTAAGATGTTGTTTGAAAATGCTTCAGAGGGATTTGTTGACCTATTAAGAGGACACCTGGGCCCATGTAGAACAGAGGCTACACTTAGAGCAAAGTGAGCACATTCAGAGGTAGCTCTAAAGTGCCTAAGAGATTAACTTTTTTTTTTTGGTCAGTCATGGGGTTTGAACTCAGGTCCAGGATGCTGGACCTGAGCTCTCTTTGCTCAAGGCTGGTGCTCTACCATGTTGTGCTACCTCCAGTTTTCTGGTGGTTAATTGGAGATAAGAGTCTCAAGGCCTTTCCTACCTATGCTGGGTTTGAACACAATCCTCAGATCTCAGACTACTGAGTACCTAGGATTACAAGAAGTCAAGATTTCGTTAGTCAAGCTGAAAATGCAGAGAATTAGCTATTTCAGATGCAGACCTGTTAATCATACAGAGCCAGTGGGAAAGGGAGCCTGCTTGCTAGAGGTGCTTTAGTGAGATCCTGGAAACATGAGTCAAAGGCCTAGCTATGTAGTTAGGACAGTTGGGACAACTGCAAACTGATGTAGCTGATGACAGGTAGAATTCTCTAGCACCTCTTCTCTCATTCCTTAAACATTAATTCTAACATGGCTCAGGACAGACAGGGAAGCCAAGTAGATTGACTTTCTGCCAGCCCTGTGGAATAACGCCTCAAGAGTTTTATTCAGGAGAGTTATTGGACTGCTTTCAGACTTTTACACCTGAGGTAATTAAAGATGCATGACTCTTATGAATTATCTAATAAAACTAGAATGTTGCTAAAGTATCTAAATCACATTAAGTCCATATTTACTGTTTACTCCTGGAAACACATTAAAATTCCAGGTGAAATGTTTGGGATTCGCTCTACTGACCTCTCGTCCTGCCTTGGGTTATATTCGCTTCAGTATTTTCTTATCTCTATCAGATTGGAGCTTTTCCTTTGTGGCCCCACTATCCACTTTTGGAGACTGGCCTCAGACTATGTACCACAGGCTGACATTGAACTCTGAATCCTGCTAACTGAGCTGCCCAAAGGTGAAATTCTCTGGATGTACCTCCATGCTCTTCTCAAAGATGGAAGCCTTTCTTCATTCCTGTGTCTAACACACAGCAATGCCTCAGTAACTTCCTTCAACTAAAGTCAGATTTAGTTTTCCAGTTCCCCAAAGTCAATCTGTAATTTGAGCAGGACTGAATATCATGAATCACCTCAAAGTCATTTCATACCCTGTACCTGACAAATGTTACTGCTCTTCTGCCTTCTTTAATACTTACTAAAGTATTTATGTATCTCAGTACGTAAATAAAGGTATCAAAGATAAAATCAAAACATGGAAATGCCACTGACCGGAAATACCAATTGGATGAAGAATGAATCGTTCCTGCTTAGTTGTTAAGGTTGTTGCATCCTTCTTTTCAATCTCTGGGAAGCATATGTCATCTGAATTGAAACACGCTCCATCTGAATAATCTGGTTTTGCTAATGAATGCCATCATAAAAAGAGTAGAAAGACACAGAAGTTATGCTGCAAGGTAGACAATTACCTGTGCAGTAAATTAACGTGAAAATGAACTGAAGGTTTATACTGTTGAGGTCATATCTCAATTTTTAAGTGTCCCGTGTTTAAGAGAGAAAACAAGGCTCAATTATAGCCTGGGAACTGCAGTATTTGGTTGAGTCAACTCTTATTGCCCTCTTTGCACCTGCGACATCTAAGAGGGGCCCACCCTCCTAAGAGCAGTGAACACAGTGGTAGCAATTCCAATATATGACTGATATGAACTTGATATGTCTCTTGGAGAATATATATTCTGTTGAATCGCTTAGAAATTGACCATATAGATCCATGATGAAATATGTGCTAAGTCTTCTTATGTTTCCTATTATTGTGGTTGTCATTGTTGGCCAATCCTGAGGCTTGACCTCAGAGCTTGGTCGCTGTCCCTGAGATTTTCCGCTCCAGGCTAGTGCCTTACTACTTGAGCCATAGCGCCATTTCCCATTTTTTCTGTGATTTATTGGAGGTAAGAGTCTCACGATTTTCCTGCCTGGGCTAGCTTCGAACCATGACTGCTCGATCTTAGCCACCTCTGTAGCTAACATTACAGACATGAGCCACCCATCCTAGCATGTTGTCCATTTCTGTTCTTGTCTTAGAATGTAAACCAGGCCATCAACGTTGTGAAGAATCACAATGGGTCAACTTATACTTTTAAATAAACCCAGAGGACCTCAACTCATTTGAGGTACTTCTTAGAATTTCAGGCTCCAAGAAATATCCCATTTGCAATTTCTCTCAAAGTGTATACTTTCACACCATATCTTCTAATTTTTAAATATGTACCATATGTGTTCAGGATTTGAAAGCACGGTATTCTGGGTAGAGTATTTGAACATGCTCTCAAACTCCATACTGGTTACATATTCTTCAGTGTCAGTGGAACATTCTCAGCACCCAATATCCTTTTCTACATCGTCTAGAGTTAGACTGATCGCGTATGAAGCCTTATCTTCTATTTTTACCTCTCACTATCCTACTCTGCTATTTAGATTTGGATGTTCTCAGGTTTAACTAGAATACTGGTATTTTTCAACTTTACACACAGAAAGAGACTTCAACATACTCAATGTACTGTGGTGAGAGTCAGGGGTCAGTGGGAGTTTTCCCTCCAAAGGCATGTCTTCTAGCAGGCAATTATCATTTTCATTCCACAGAAAGTCTTGAAAAACAGAAATTTTTGTCAAACAGACTTGAACCTTCCATTGGTACACAAAACATTAACATTACTTTATAAAGGGCACTGTGAAGGGATAACTAGGTTTTAATACAAACTGGAAAATTTTAACAGTATATTGGATGGAAAAAGTTTACCCACTATCTTTCAAATACAGACAAATTTCTCAGATTTTGTTTGACCCTTTTCTTTTCTTTCTTTCTTTCCTTCCTCCCTCCTTCCCTCCCTTCCTTCCTTCTTTCCTTTCCTTCCTTTCTTTTCTCGTTGGTTCTGGGGCTTGAACTCTGGGCCTGGCCGCTGGCCCTCACCTCTTAGATGAAGGCTAGCGCTCTACCACTTGAGCCATAGCGCCACTTCCAGTTTTCTGAGTGGTTTATTGGAGGTAAGAGTCTCACAGATTTTCCTGCCCGGCTGGCTTTGAATTGCAATCCTCAGATCTCAGCCTCCTGTGTAGCTAGGAGTACAGGAATGAGCCACCAGCATCTGGCTATGTTTGACCCATTTCTATAGTTATATAATACAATAGTAATATAATACAAAAGCAAATATAGAGTGCTAGAAAGGTAATCTTGTACAGGTGTTCCACAATTTGTGTCAAAGAAGATTATGTTTATAGGATACACTGAACTCACTCCTCTCCAACAATAATGAATTTGTAAAAAAGAGAAAACAAAAAACATAAAAAACAAAACAAAAAAAATTTAGGCAGTTGTTCCCAAATTCTAAAATTTGTTTCAATGGATGACTTTCTTTAGGCCCAAACATATCACTGTCTTCTTTGGAGAGTTGTGTGAAGCTTTAGTGGATGTACAGAAAATTGTGTACTTTATTAAGGTGTACAAGACACAGAGAGTTACCTCCAAATTCTATTTTGATGTACTCAGCCCACTAATTCATCATAGTGTTCACACTGAATTATTGTATTTCTGTACAACCAAACAGCCTACCTGCCATTGTTTCAGAAGCTCCTTCATCTCCAAATCCATCCCCATTGTTACACATCAAAGACTTTTCTCCAGTGAGGTTTCCAGTACTATGTTCTGATAAAGGGACACTGAAGCTCAGCAATGTATTCCCTTCCACAAAGCTCTGTCCTCTGCGAATCTGAGATCCTTCCCCTAAATAAATATATACATACATATCATTAAGGCTAAGTGTGTTGTAGAAACCTTTATACTTTAAGAGCTGGAACACCTTTAAATATTATAGCTGACAACTGTTAATAAACTCACAAGAAAATTCATAGGTTTTTGATAATGTGTACATATAATTACATATAACAATAAATCTATGGAACATGAAGCATTACTTTAAAAGAAAAATGATAATAAGAGCAAAATAAAATATTTAGAAGGAAACAAACAAAATTCACGTGACATTTTAAAGAATGGGCTTACAGCACTCATTCAATAATAACTACTTTGCATATGGGATTGTGCAACAGAAGGTACTATTCTGTACTATTCTATCCCTCATCACCCAAATAAGGGAACACATCACTGAAAGGGTTTTTTAATTCATACAGTTACCACCTTAATAAATGGCATATCTAGAATTTCAACTCATTTTTTTTCTCCTACTAAAAACTTTATACTGATATTCCTGGGCAACAAATATCAGCTGTAGCTTCAGTTTATGCAGATACATGCGAACTCTGTTATATATGTTCATATAGCATCTGTTTGTCTCTACCGAGCCTGAAGCTTCTGGAAGACACAAACTACCTCTTTCAACTGGTAATGCACATGTCCTTGATAGCACTTGACATAGGCATTCAAGAAAGGTAAGTACAGTGGGAAATGAAGCAGATGATAATACCTGGGACTTACATCCAGAAACAAAGTTTTATATGTGATAATATTTACACAGCAAAATGTCCATTCATTTGATAGTTTGGGCTGTATTGAGAGTTGGACTCAGGGTCTTACATACTTGCTTGGCATTTTCACTCATGTAGGGCACCCTAGCACTTGAGCCGCATTTCAACTTCTCGTTAGTTTGAGCTAAAAGTCTTCAAGCCTTTCCTCCCTAGGCTGCCTTTGAACCTTCAGCCTTTCAGCCTTTCTGTGGCTAGGATTAGACGTGAGGCACGTGCTTCTAGATTTGTTAGGTATTACTATTGCATTGTTTTACCACATAAAATACAACTACAATGACTTATGACTGGTAATTTTGATTTCTTATATATGATCACCAAACTTCTGTGCTTACAAAGGTAGAACCTTACCATAATCTTCTTTAAGTGTAATTTCCTCCGGTCTACTTTGGTTTGGAGCAAAGTGTTCAGATGCATCGATAGTACTATAAAGAAATGAACATTTGAGCAAGCAATAGGAAAAGAACAGTTATTTTGCCACATATTGAAAACATGTAAAACAAAACCAGGTTCATTGCTTAAAAATACAGGAGAGTTTTACTTTCTCAAAAGTATCTTTGGTGAACACATGATTTTAGTATATGATATGCACAAATAATTTCCAGACTGCCAAAGCCAGTGCTGGTGTTCAGTGGTTCTCACACTTGTGTTCACCAACAGCATTCGGGGGAGATGCGCACACTGGCTATGGCCTGAAGGCATGCGTCCTCCAAATCTGTATGCTAAACATCATCACCAAGGAGATAGTATTCGGACTTTTCTACATGACAAGGTCATAAGGGCTCTGCAGTCATGAATGGCATTAGTACCCTTAAGATGACTTTCACCTTGTGAGGACACAGAGACAACACTGCCATCCATGACCCGGTAAACACAGGTTCACCAGACACTGAATCACTGGGCATTTGGTTTTGTATGCCAAAGCTTTAGGGATGCTGTAAAGCATGTACACTTTACTGGGCAATTAATAAGCAATAGAACAGTTGTTATGCACAGAGACTGAAGTTTAGGAAGCCCAAGATTAGTGTGCCAGCAGATTCACTGTCTTGTAAGAGCCTGTTCCTCATAGAAGGGGACTTCTTGTTATATTCTCAGGACACAGAAAAAAACAACATCAAGTCTCTCTTCTGAGGGCACTGATCCCATTTATGAGAACCATTACCATCTAATCATTATCAAAATCCACAATTTAAAAAAAAAATACTATTGCCTTACAGACTCGGTTTCCACATCTGAATTGGAGGGAACACAGATGTTCAGGTCAAAACCATTCATGGTCCAAAACCACTCTTCCTTGTCTCTCCTTTTAAAATTTGTCATTCCCTGGGTGTCCTAATTTTATGAGGAGATAACTCAATCATCATGCCCCCAAATAAGAGTGATCCTTTGCTTCTTTCCCTCATAGCCATATTCATGATCAAATACTGATGGCTCTGCCTTTCACACACATCCATGGTTTGACTGCTACAACCTTCCTAAGATGAATGCTCAGAATTGCTCAGAGAGTCTATCTTCTCCTAGCTGATAAAATCTTTTTACAATAATGTTCTCACGGTTTCTCTGCTTCTTTATCACGGTGAACTCAAGTCAGATCTGGCCACACCTCTGTTCTCTATTCAAAACCTGCCTGTGCTTCCTTACTTAGTAAAAAAAAAAAAAGTGCCACCATACCTGTAATGGACCACACATTACCTGGACCTCCTGCTACCCCTATGATCTCATTTCTCTACCACTCAGTTGCTAATTCTCTCCACTACAATCTTACTTGCGTTCTTGCCTGAAGACCTCTCTACTTCGTTCTACCTGGAACACCTATGCTCCACATAACTAATGAGTCCTTTTAGCTCCTTCAGGCTTCTATAATTACATTAGCAGAAAATCCTTCCTTGGCCATCATAGAATCTTACTTCCCCTCATATCAAGTCATATCTGGTCATCCCCCTGGTGTAATGTACATGCACTCGTTTGGATTTTTCCAGTCTTCTGCAATTAAATTGGAAAGTCTACAAGGCCAGGAGCTGAGTTTCATTCATGGCTATCTCTTCAATGCTTGAAACGGTGCCTGGCATAGGAAAGGCACACAAGGAACTCTTAAAATCAGTGAATCAATCTATCATCAGTGTTGCAAGCTACATGCAATAAATACAATGATGTACTTTTGTGGTCACGTATTGTAATTTTATGGTAATTTTAATCTCTGACAACTACATGTGTTCTTGTGTTCTACTTGCCTACATGCAACCTGAACATGAAAACAGCAACATGTCATGAAAATCTAACTGAAGGAAAATCATTTACTTCATGTTATCAGTGTCAAAATCATAAAATTCTTCTTCAAATGTGACAGCACTGTAAGATGCTTCTAATTCCCCTTTTGAGAGGTCAATCAGTCCTGAAAAGCATAACAGAAAACAATCAATAGGCAAATATATTGTATAAAATAGGACAATCCCCTTAAATCCTTGTTGTCTCCCACTAGACAATTGCTTTCTCTCTTTATCTGGTTTCCTTGTATCCACTCCTGCCCTTCTGCATTCCATGACACGACAATGAGCATATCAGTTTTCCAGGGCAAACAGCTGACAAACTCTGGGTTTAGCAACTTCCCCCATGTAAATTAAATCAAAATTTCCAACCTGGCCTCTTTAGTCCCACAAACCTATCACAAGCTATTGGAGACCCTCTCCTCCTTGTTCCATTCTACGTCTAGTGGCCATTTGGTTCCCTCAGACTGCCAAGTTTGTCATATCAGCACTTTGTTCCAAGGTTACATTGGCCTCTTATGCTGTTATTTCAGGGACTATTTCGGTGCCTGGATATTTTTACATCTGCGATTCTGAGTGAGCTAAAATGGTATCTTCCCCTCAGAAAGGATTTCCCAGCAATCATATGTAAACTGAATTTGTTATTTTATGTTGTAATGCTAATTTTATTTTCTTTTATATTGCAAACATGAGCTATAATAAGGTGTTAAAGTTTAAAAACCATTTCCTTAATTGAGTTCCTTACCAGACAGAAAATAAGGGCCCTTACCTGGTTGATCCTTATGTCCCAGAGCCTAACATATTTCACACAATGCATGACATCAATAAATATTTGTGCAATACATAACTGAAGTAACACAGAAGTATGCCATATTGAGAGGATTATATGTCTACCTAGAGACTTTACACGTATTGTAAACAAAGAATATAAAAAGATCAGTCCAGATTCAACAAAATTGCTTGAGGGATTGGTACATGGAAAACAGTAAGACAGGTTGTCAGAGATTCACAAAATCAGTTGTGTATCAAGGCACATGCATACATTCCTAGCTAATGGGGAGTCTGACCATGAAAGATGAGTATCTTCAGGTGAGCCGTCAAACATTCAAGAGACCCTTTTTTCCCACCGATACTCTGGTGTGGTAGTGAACGCTCATCATAGTAGCTATATCTCAGGCTAAGTAAGCTTGGTGTGGTCATGAACACTCGTCATAGTAGCTATATTGCAGGCTAAGATGGGTAGGATCTCAATTCAGGGCAACTCTCTGCAAGAAAATCCTGTGAGTCTAGGTCAAAGGAAGGAAACTTGTCTTGGTAGTGCACACATGTCATTTCAGCTATAATGAGGATCCTAAAATATGCAGATTGTAGTCCAGGCAAGGAGTGAGATCCCATGCCAACAGGGCCAGTGCTGGACAAAGGGCTGGTAGCATGGATGCGTACTCAAGTACCGGCCTAGAAAAGCCTAAGGGTTCAAACCGCAGTAGTGCCAACAAAACAGAGGTTCAGCAAATGAGTATAACAAAGATACTTGGTGATAGGGAAAGACTGATGTCTAAATCACCACAATAAATGGAAGAAAAATGATAAATATCCACAAAGTAGAATAGATGATATCTACGTAAATTAAAATCTGAAAGCACTATAGTTGAAACACATGAACATAGTACTTTGGAAGGCTTAGGAATTCTGATAAGAACATTTCAAAAATAGCAGACAACTTAGAAAAAGGACAATTCTGAAAAGACTGTCAATCACACTATTTCGAACAGGTCCCGTAAAAGCAAGAACAAATGAGAAGTTAAAGGCATCAATAAAAACAGAGCTTTTGATCCTTACAAGCATGCAGTGTGCTTAAGTATACTTGCAACATGCACACAGATAAAACAAGTTTTGGACAGCATCACCTTTCTCATATATACAGGAAAGGATCAAGGGAGAGAATGTAATTTGTCCTTAACTATCGATACTGAAACTCCATCAAAATGAAGCTCACATCCACTTAACTCATCTGAAACTACACCACGCTGTCACTTATAAGAGCACAGACCCACAAAAAGCAAAAGAAACCAGGAAGAATGAGACAAATTCAAACAGCATGTTTACCTGGGCAAAATGTCATATTCATTTTAACAATTGCTTCACTGCAATCTTCCAAAAGATACTTCACCTTCCTCTTATAGATTCGAACAACTCCCAAAAGAAGATGTCCCGAAGTTCGAAGTGCAAACTTCACCTTTTGATAATATACAACATATTAGAAGAATAAAAATTAGGTTCATAAATCCTACTCTAAAAAGTACCTTGCGGGTTTTTGAAAAAAATCTAAAACCAATTAGCTTAGCTTTTACCTAAAGTTGTAAAAATAAAAAGGTGAACATTCTTTATATTAGTCAACAAACTTAAAAAGACATTGCATCTAAGGGAAGTATGCTATCATTAATATTAAGGACAGAACATTAACTCTGCAATAAGAAACCTGGGTAAATTGCAAAAGGTGAGCCACTACGCCTTATTCAAATTCAGTGCAACAAAAATGGCTACAAGTATTATATATTTACATTGTGGCGGATGCTGCCCCAACAGATTTCCATACATTAATTTAATTGTAATAAAGTCTATTCACTGGAGAGAAACCTAGGCTCATACGTCTTAGAAATGATGTATAAGCTAAATATCAATTTGAACAACACATATGTTCATCTTGTTAACCACCAAACTTAACTGAGTTTAGCTTAAGGCTTACTGTGCAGATGAAAGAAAACACACACACACACACACACACACACTCAAAACTAACCAGTATAAAGTCTAGCACTGTGACCAACAAATAGCCTTTCAACTCTAATTGAAAATGTATGTCATATATTTAACTTGGAAGATGTTAGTATGCTTAAAGTGAATTCTATTAGATACTTTTAAATTTTTTATGATGAAAAAGTAAAAAGAACAAGAGGGAAAGAGGGAACAGCTGACACTAGGCAAAACAAAAGAAATGTACATATCACCCAATGTAGAAGAAATAACTGTATTGTCAAAGCTCATAGAACTCATCAAAGTTATAGACCACGATGGACAATTTGACCCATTAAAGTTAGAATGTGTTTGTGACTTTAACTAAGCATCACTATACCACAATACAGTGAAATATGGGAAATTATGTCATCACTTAAACACAATAAAGAATTTGAAAAAAATTATTTTAACGTAAAAAGTATTTTACTTTTTATAAAATAGCTTCACGTCTTTTTGCTCCTAATACATGCTTTTCTATTCTACCCAATCATTTTTCATAAGAAATCATTATCAGGTACCGGCTATGGGCAACTTATTTTATTAGGGAAGTATATAAAGCATTACAAAACATAGAGCATGGTCTTTGTTCCTCAGAGTCAAGTTTATGCTTGCTAAATATATAAAACAATTGTGCACTAAAGTTAATTATCATTTGTTCATGTTCACACAAAAGATGGTAAGGAAATAAAAGCAATCATTTGAAAAGTAAAACTGTCTCAGAAATATACCTCCTGATACAAACCAATTGTAATCGCTTGCCTCTTTGAGTACTCAGGCTGAATGAACATATACTAACATTTCTCATCAGTTACATACCTTCTGTGAAATAATTTTTCCAATGGTTTTCTGTATATTACATTTGAATACTTGATCCTTGGTGAGCTTCTTCTCCCAGTGAGCTGCCAGCCATACTTTGGCCAATGGTGCACGCTTACTCAAAAGTGCATGGGCATAGAACATGTTGCCTTTAGGAAGTGGAGAAAACAAGGCTTAAAAGTTCACAACTAGAGTTTGTAGTGGTATTCTGCTACAAGCGGAAACACCAGTGATCATATAGTATAATCGCTTACTTTAAAATATTGTTCAACGGCCGGGCGCTGGTGGCTCACGCCTGTAATCCTAGCTACTCAGGAGGCTGAGATCTGAGGATCGCGGTTCAAAGCCAGCCCGGGCAGGAGAGACCGTGA